AAATGCTTTTACAGTTTATGAACATGCCCTGCCTATGTTATCGCTTCAAACGCGCGGGAATGTCTGCTTAATATCTGATTAAAGTAATAAAACACAAGGAGGCGAGGTAACAAGGAGTACTGCGGATGGGCAGGGGTTTGTTTAACGGAAAGAACCCTCGAGTGATGTTCGAAGGCGAAGAGAAACGTCTAATGCCGTACTGGCATTTGCATACTTGAGTATTCATGGAAGGAAAGCTTTCGTCGGTGCATTATACGATCTGAGATTGTTGTGCGAATACCCGACAGCCCTCGCGAAGTAGATGCGCGTACGGTTCAAGAGCTGGAATATGGTGTTTTCGAGACAAGGTGCGTCGACGCGGCGCGTCGCGTGAGCGGTGTGAGCTGCTGTTTCGAGCTTTTCAAGCTGCTCGCTGCGCATTCCGACGCTCATAAAATCACAGTGTAGAGAAACATGAAATTTCGATAAACTTGCTGCAGTCAACATCACGGTCTTATCTATTAAACGTTTCTATTCTATACGGTGTACACGCGACACTATCATTTATCAGCGTGTCGAACGAACATAAATTCATCCGCATAATTTTAACAGATCACGATGCAATAAATGCTGCAAATCTCAAGCCTAAGTGTAGGACAGCTCGACATTACGGAATGGCCGCGGATCTTTCTATAAAATGATTTTACAGCAATTGCCAGACGAAGTACTTTTAATATTCTTATCGTTCTGTCAGCTGTACTCTATATGATCTATTTGTTACTAACACTTTAAACAAATTATTCGCGTCAATTGTGTCATAACGTCAATAGAGTGATAAACGATGCGTTAAGGATACCATCTACCCCGGTTGGCGGTCGAGGGCTTTTTGCAAACCAAAATTCTCATCGCCAGATTTCAAATAGTATTTTAATAGATAGTAGATGTTAGTTAGTACGTCAAATTTTGCACTACGTAAACATTTACATACTTATGCGACGTCAATTTGACGTACATCGCCACTAGTGTTAGGAGTCTATGTGAGTTGCGTCGCCGCTGCAAGTTTGAAAATTGGCTGCATTAACCTTCTGAGCTCTGAATACTCCTGGCCGAAACGGTTCGTAGGGACGGAGCGCGGCTATCGCTGACCATCGCTGGGGGCGGAATACTTTTTTGCCACACTGAAGTGACTATTCAAGGCGCAAACAGTAATAAATTATAGTGATTCTTTTGCAGAAGGTCAAATAATTAATCTTCCGATTCAATCTCTGATGATAGTGATTCACTATATTCTATTTTACTGTCGTCCCTTGTGAAATATTCCTCAAGATTTGACATTTTATAGGGTGTATATTCCGCACTATCGTTGTTGACACGAGCGAGACCGTGAGGTTCTTACATTCACAAGACGATACTGCTGACTGAGTCGTTTTGAGTGCTTTGAGTCGCGAGAAGGTGACAGTGCAGGTAATTATTTTGAAATCTAATTGGTTAGAGAGTGGGACATATAAAATGGGATTTCCGTTTCGGAAATTCCCGGGGATTTTTATGATCCTAATATTGCCCAACCGCTACCTAAGGAAGGCAAATTACTAACGAGTGCCCCTGTATTAATTTTACACGAAAATAACTGCATATTGATTGAAAAAATCGACAAACGCATATACGCGCCCTTAGTCCAGGCCGATGACTTAGAGAAAACACATAAATGCGGCCTTAGGCTACACGGATGACTTTCGCCAAACGCATATATACGTCCATACGCATATATAGAGCTCCATGAAAATGCCTTTCTTTCTTCAAATAATCTGAATTGTTATAAATTCTATGTCTGTAATGCATGAAATCCGCGGTCTAATAGTCGCTGACAATGTCGTAGGGATGGGGGAAGCATCGATTAAAGCAATTAGGTTCGACAGTGTCGGTGTCAGGGATCGTAAGGTAACGAAAGATTAGATTCCCGGGGTCTGCAGCAGCCGATGTTCTCGGGACACCTGAATAGAAACCACGGTCGTCGCATTCTTAGCTCGCGGAGGGTCACGCAGTCTCCCGATCCCGGATTCTAGAATCTCAAGGGTCCCGTTCCAAGCTTTCGCTCACAGCCACGGTCTCGTGAAGCATGGTAGTCCGAGCTACTACGAAGTGATCTGTGGAAGGTCGTACCGGCCGCGTTTCGACCGTTTCGAATTCCACGAACATCCGAGATCGCGACGGCTATGCCATTTTGTGGTTTCATACCTGAGAACGTCTACAGACCAGAACCACTCGTCGAAGTCCTCGAGAATTCATATATTTCGCGGCACTGTGTCTGGGTAATTTCACGTCACGTCCCTTGTTAGGGCCACCTAATTCGCAGGAATTCTTGGCTGTCTAGTGACAATCGTATTACAATCTGTCGTTCAGCCGATCACTAGACTGCAATATGAAATAGAAAACAGATTAAAAGAATTGGAGAGTACAATTGAAGTATTGCCTTCGCTCTATCAAAATTTTACTAAAGAAAAAGGCAAACATTTTTATTTTGCAAGAAGATCCTTAGAAACGGTGAAATAAAATTCTTCTATACGGTTTTAACCTTGGACAAATTTCAGAAAATATTTTATGCTTTCATGCGAAACGTATTTGGATAATCGCGAATTCAAATATCAGAGGTTCGGATAATCGAGGTTCTGTACTCGTCGATACCATGTATGTCGGGGGTGTCAAACTCAAAAGCTAACTTGGGCCATAATAATAAATAAACAATGCTTAACTTTAGGTGGGCCGCAAAAAAAGTCAATGTTCATAGAAACAAATATTTTTATTTTGACCAGTACATTGTAATAAACACATATATAAAGTTAAATTATTGTTTACGTCCTGATACTTGACATCGAAAATGTTCGTCTCGGGCCGCGAGTTTGACACCCCTGATGTATTTACTTTGATTTTGAATCGAACCATTCATTGGTAGCTATAAATTGACTTGTAGGATCGGATTTTTCCGTCACGATCGACACGCCGCAAAGTAAATTCGCGGCGGCATGGTGTACATAACCTGAAACTCGAAAGATCAGCGTTAACGGGCCAAAAGGAAGAAAATTGCTTTTCTTCGCGTGGTTTACGACGGGAAATCTCGTAAAGAGCTCGTACGAGCGCATAATGCCTGCCGTTTCCTCGTGCGGCGAGGCTGATTCTCGGCTGGACGTTATCCATGTCGGTGATGTACGCTCGCATTTATAGTGCCGGGGGGATTACTTCCGTTCAGCATAGGCAGAATCCGTGAGAGACGGCCGCTTACGATGCTTTTCATTGCATCGCGTCGCTCGACCGCGACCGCCGCCGTGGCTCGACTCGGCCCGGCTCGGCTCGGTTCGTTTATGCTCGTCGCACGGGACACGCGGCCCTGCCCGGGCGAGATCTTCGTACCGACGCGTCCCGTCGACGTGTAGCGAATCAACGGAATTGCCTTGTATACGTTACGCAACGCATAAATTGATGGAAAGATCGGCCGCGTCGTATTTCATCCCCAACTCTAATACGTTCCCCCTTGATCCCGCGCTTGCATTGCGTTGCCGTTCTCTGCAGTGATGTCGCAGGACAATTCGTCAGGAAGTACCATTATGCATATACAATACACATTCGATAATCATATGTCCTTTATTTAATGGGCTATTGCAGAGAGAACCTTCGAAAAAATCAATTTTTCTGTATTTACGTTATGTCCGAATTCTTGAAATTAACAAAGTGATAGCGAGTATAATATTCATAGTATGAATGATGACTATTGGTATTTTGGCGGTGGTGAAGGGACCGTGTTAAGGAAAAAAGGAGAGGGGAAGACGTTTCGTCCGGGACCCGCTAGAGGATTCATCAGTAAGGCTATCCTAGCGGGCCCTTGTCTTAGACGTTGTGATGTCGGTAGGAAGGACGAAGTCTGTATATATACAAATTGAGGCGAATCGGTTACTTGCGGGAAGAGGAGCCATCTGCTGGCGGGTCTGGAGGTAGCCGCCACAGTATAGAAAACTCAATTTATTCTTCTCCAAAGTATGCTTTTCAAAATATTGCTCGGGATATCTGATATTCTAATTAACCGATTGCCTTTAAAGTTTGAGTGCATATTAAATATGTATGTGTTTATGCATACAGCTCGTACCAGAACCGATCCAAAATTTTTATTTTTTACATTTTTCTAGGCTCCCAATACTGAAAAATCACCAAGAAAAATTAGTATAACTTCGTCAACTTTGAAAAATATTTTCACGAAACTCTCAGGAAATAGCTGCCGACACAATACTCATTCAATGCCATTAAAAACGTTTTAATGGAATATAAGGATCGTCTTTTCTCTATGATTAAATGTGTACTACCTTTTGAGCGACAAAGTTCAACAGGATCGGGAAAACTACACGATGGCGACATCCGACGACGAGTAGATACAGCTCTTTTCACCAATCTATCATTTCCTATACTACATTTCAGCTATTTTATATTTCGTTTCGAATATTTTATGAGAACGATAAAGACGTTAAGCCGAACATGCTCTTTGGCTTTAGTTAATAGGTTCGCATAATGCTAAGCCTCGGGGCTTAATACCTGATCAGCGTCCAGCATCCAGCATGTGAATGAAATACGATAATTAATTTCGACGAGACTGGTTTGGTCATGGGATTCAAAGCCATGACGTGAAGGTCCGAATCAATTTTAATGACGTACTTTCCAGCAGTTCGCTTCCTAAATCGCCTGATACCAACCGGAACGAAATCGAATATCCATCGATTAAGCAAAAAAAATTCTAATGCAATAATCCTAATGCGCTAGAAAATCCATGAATTGCATGGCAATACTGTCTCGTTCCGGTCCCAGTGAAAATTTAATACACACCCGTTACCTACAGATCTATAAATTTCTTCCTTAAAAAGATCCTTCTATCCCGAATTCTACCGAACAAGTTATGAGATTAATCGGTGAACAACAAATATACCGAGCTTTCTCGCCAGCGACCAATTCGTGAAACAATAGAAGGTTTGTAAAAAAAACGATTTCAAAACGATCCTTTACCAATTTATTAACCCATAATATAAATATCAACCGCCGACAGCTCGGCGTGGTGCATCCCCGGCCAGTGGTGTACCCATAAATTTCTGTCACCTCACCGTGAGCCCGAAACGGCGCGAGAAACACCCGTTGCGATAATTTCATACGATCATTATGTTTATTTCGCCCCGATCCCCGTTCAAGTCTCTTCCTCCTCCCAGACCCAATTGGTCTCCTCCGATTTGCTCCTCGCCGTCGTTCTATCAACTCCAAAATGTTCCTCCTCGGTTGACCAATTTATCTTCGAGGAGTCCTCTTCGTTATCTGACCTCGAATTAGTTTTGCTACTCTCCCTGCTCCTCCCCTCCGTCGATGTAGTCTCCTCCGATTTCGTCGAGCTAGTCTTATTCTCCTCGGTATCGGTACTTTTGCTTCTGGACAACCTGACTGATTCGGACTCGTCGTCTCCGTACGAACTAACGTCTTCGTATTCGGAGCTTTGTTCTCCACTGCGCTCTCTCTGTATGCTCGGCGTGTCGTCGCCCTTTGGACCCTTAGGGTCCGTCTTTGCTTGATCTCTGACCTCCTTGACGCCTACGGCGTACGGCCTGTCCTCCTCGGACCTCGACTTCTGCATCTGCCAAGCCTTCTTGAAAGGATGCTCGTTGTCCTGCTGTACCAGCTTCGGCCTCTCCGGAAGAAGATACTCGGGATCCTCCTCGCTGGCTTGGCTCTTTATTATAGACTCCCTTTTGTAGAGACCTTTCGGCTGCAACTCCGACGATTTATCCACGATGTTCCAACCAGACTCGGACAGATCTACTTCCTCCTGCGACAGCTTCGACAGATCCTGGAAATAGAATCGACATTGTGAATCGACTGAATCATGTGTTACTATTTAGAGAGACATGCTAATTTAAATACCCTAACGTATTTTCTTTCTAACAATTTTTACTAACGATCTGTAGACTGTGAAATCTCATGCAGATTCTCATTTTCCCGTCTAAAAATTCGTAAATTTTTCAACAAACGACAAATATATCTTTCATCGACTAATGCTAAAAATGTTGTTACGAGCGTTCGCCGATTCCCATGCTATCGCATATGTTAGCAACTTGCATGCAGCATAACTGCTTAAGATCAGGTATTAAGACAGCGCACAAAAGTCTCACGATAAAAGATTATACGGTTCCACGGCAAAGGAATCTAGAAAGTAGATCATAACAAACTCGAATCTAGGAAAACCTTCTACATTTCCAGGCATTCTAATTTGAAACAGGGAATCCTGCCTGCACAGAAATCCTCTTGCTATCCTTAGTAAGCACAAAGTTAAAAGTAGCTACATCCTCGTCCTCTTCGACGGAGGTCATTTGGCTGCTGCTGGTGTGGGATCTCCTGGAGGCATCCCAGAGAACCTCTTCCTCGCTCATGGTGTCGTCCCTGGGTGGAGGCGCTTGTTCCCGGTACTCCCTCCGTCTCCTGTAGGCACTGTCCTCTTCAGCCTCACTGCGTTCCTGCGAAGAGCCCAGGTGTGCCACTCTGGAACCAACGCTGACTGTCCAAGAGTCCATGTTGTCGTCCGCCGAAGGATCCTTCAGCAAAGCCAGTCTGCCCTCCGCGGAGGACCTCCTCCTCAAGGAGACTAGATCCTCGTCTTCCAGTAGGGAATCGCGTTCCTGCGTGGCCAGTCTCTCCATGAATTGTTTTCTACGTATCCTCAGCTCATTCTCCCAGTCCTCCTCGTCGCTGTGCCTCGGTTCTGCTGGAAGCTGCCTCTTTTCCAGCTTTCTTCGTTGCGAGAGCTCCTCCTCGCTCTCCGAGGAGTACGCCCGCCTAACGTCCGAGGACCTTGAGAAGGATCTTGTTTGTCTTTGAACAGGATCGAGATCCTCCGATCGGCCGGAGTGCCTTTTAACGTCCGCACCTCGGGAAGACGAGCGGTCGCGGTTTGCCGACTCCGAGGAACGATAATCCTCGCGGTCCCTGATCGCCGACCTCCTTCTGGATTCGGACCGGCTATAGTGTCTAGGCTCCTCCCTCTGTGTCTGCCTCCACAAGTATTGCTCATCCTCGTCGCTGTCCTGCAGCATCCTGCTGTCGAGGCTCCTCGACGTCGATCTTCTGCGTTGCAAAAGAGCATCTTTGTGCTCGAGCTGCGACCTCAGCAACTCCTCCTCTTCCGGTTCAGAGTTCTGGTAGTCCCTCTGACTACTTTTGCTTCGTCTCCGCTCCCTGTAACCGTCGTCTCTCGTAGAGTACCTTCTGCTAGCTTCCAAAGACTCGTTTTCCGACTGGAACGGTGTTCTCTTCAAGGTTTCTTTGTATTCTTTTTCTTTTTCCTGCAGTGGCTCGTTGCTCGGTTTCGTGCCGTTCTTCAGCCAGTCCCAACTCGTGGAAACCACCTCGTCCTCTTCGTCTTGTTGCTTTGGTTTTTCTTTCACCTGAGTTTCCGGCGGTTGATCCTCGACGGAGACCTTGGCTCGCATGTCCGTGCACTCCATTATCACGTTCTTGAACTCTTGCATCGGCAGATCCAGTAACAGGGTCAGTACAACCGAGACGATCACTACTGTTGCTAACTCTTTGCAGTCGAGCTGCAACAGAATCGTGATAATGAGTTTCTCGTATGATCGCCATTATAATATCAGCTTGAATAGAAAAGTTTACGTAAAAAACATCTCATAGAAACATCTATCTAATATCAGAAATTTTCGAAGGAAAGATTAGAAACCAGTCATTTTGACTAGTACTTTTAGTGTTAAAGAAAACCGCTGGAGAAATTTGGTATTAACAACGCCTCGTTAAAATGAATTTAAATATTTGAGTGAAGGTTGGATAGACTATATTTGAATCTTAACAAACGTAGATTTCAGATTCGCGTTATTTTATTCACCGTTCTGTAATTTATCTTATCGTGTTCGGTTTCGTAACTTAAACTATCTTGTTCTGTTCGATTCCGTGATTTATTTTGTTCTATTCGATTTCGTAGCTCATCTTGCTGTGTCCGGTTTCGTGATATTATTATTATTATTATTATTATTATTATTTTGTATCATTATTATTGTTGTTGTTGTTCTTGTTGTTGTTATTATTATTATTATTATTATTATTATTATTTTGTATCATTATTATTGTTGTGTTGTCAATACCATAATTTATTCACGGAGAATTCTCGTTTAGGGCTGTCGCACGTGATGTCCGTACATTAAATGATTTGACCAACAGCGCCGACCTTGTTGGACCTTGATAGTCGCATTTTTATAGAAATGATTATTGACAAGATCCATTTTATAACGTTTCAGGTAGCCAAAAATCTGTTTGGTTGATTTTATAATGTGTAAGATATGAGAGGAACTTGTTTGATATATTGAAAAATTTTAAAAAGTTTGCTAATTAGGATAACATTTCTACCGTGTGAATGTGCAAAAAAGAAATGTAGCATATTCATTGTGTACTCTATAAGCTTAGAGTTGTGGTATAGTAGGTATGTCATAATTTGATAATAGTGCCGAATAACTCTAACTGTGTCACTTACCCCATTAAAAACGCTAAACTCGCTCGCGTACCTCGTGCTCCCCACATTGATAAAAAACACTGCGAACTGCGTCATGTAGAACGCGTACGATATCCTGCTAATGAGAAGTAGCCACTGCTGTGACAGGAATCTGTTGATTATACCTGCAAAAAGAGTAACCGAGACTTGAACCCTACATTAATCGATCCCGGAAGTGGTAAAACTCTTTTAAGTAGTATTCTCGAACGTAAATTGCGCTATTCATGTATTCCCATGGAAAATGACTCGCGTGTCAATGACCACGCATACCTCCATTATTCGTGTGACAGGCATATATGGACCAGCATAGGGCGATGGAAGATGCAATCGGACTGAGCACACCGTAATTGGCGGCCTCTTCGGCATCGTACACGTAATCCATCTTGGCTAAATGCCAAGGTGAAAGTATCGACCATGACATCAAGGCCGCCGAGATTAACCATCCCAAGACCACTAACACCTGAAAGTAGTATATCAACATTTCTTGCCAGCTCGACGGATGTCACATGCGAATACCTTGTGTATCCTAATGTCCCTCTTGGTATAATGCAACAGCACACCAAGACCTACGCCGAACACGTATGACGTTGCTCGGTGTAACGTCGTCGTGTAAGTCAGATCAGCCGTCCTGTAGAGCTGCTTTATGCTGAAATCGACGGGTTCGAATGCTGAACTCGAAATGTTTGGAAAGTTGAAGCGAAATAGCTGTTTCATAACAGGCCACTCTCTCACCTTACGCCGTGGAAGAAGACGAGAGTAAGTCTGTGGGTCGATATCGCCACGTAACGGAGAGTAGCCGCCAGCAGCACGAAAAAGAATATCAGAAGAACGCCGAAGATCGTCTTGAACTGCAATAAGAAGACCAAGAGCGGCGCCAACAGCGACAGTTGCATGTCCAGTGCAAGCTGATGTGTATGTGTCGCACACTATGCAACCGAAAATAGAGATTTCTTATCCTTAAACAGGTTATCCCCGGCAGATAATTTCTCACCGTTTATTCTTATTTCAACTCTCCACGTATTCATCACTCTACTGCTATTATTACCACATAAATATTATAACGATTACAAGGAATAAGAATATTCGTCGATCGACGAAAGACGATTGAACTTAGAAAATCATTCGAAATGAAAATGTTGAGAAACTGTTTCTTTTAATCCCTCCGGTAAAAATAGAGTTAAGAAGAACCGGTGAGAATTAATAAAGAATCTTCTGATTACGGTTTCTTCCATGGGCAAGAAGTTCTGTATGTAGAGTAAATTGGTCCACGCGTTGCTCTTGCAGATTTCAGCATTGCGGACTACAGTGATGTTCCATAGTGGCCCGGATCCGATATGTTCCATCACGAAGGCGTAGAAGAAGATCACCGCTAGCAAAGCTGGCGTCAGCCTAAACAACAACAAAGCGCGATGTATCTAGATGACAGAGAGTATTTATTTTAAAAAGAATCGTTTTAAAAAGACCTGCCTGATGTATCTGGTGACAAGGCGACAGAACCAGCGAATTTCTCCGCGCTTTGTATACTCATTCGCCATATTGTAAGCGGTTAACGCACCGCTAAATAGCAGAAACCATTCCGTATAAATGAACGACGTTCTCACGATCGTGCTGATCGGTTTGGTTACAACCTTCATCGACAGGAACAAACGTGAGCATTCTCTCGAGCATTAAATTTCGCGTATAGAAACGCGTAAAACATGAACAAATTGGACTTCTTAAGAAACGACCTGCGCAGAAACTTACCTGTGAAACATCGAGTCGATTAACGTACGGCATGGTCAATAATGGTACGAATTTGTGTGCGGTGTAAATCAGGAGAGCGCCAATTGCTCTCAATCCGTGGATGCAACTGATATCGAAACTGTTCGTTCCTCTCTTTAATAGCGTCTTCAAGTTTTTCCGCAACGAAAACGCCATTATTATTCTTTCGGAATAGCTTCCTGAAGATAAGATAAGATCAGAGTCAACAGCAGCATTACACGTAAATATTCGCTTACCTTTCCCTTCAGACACCACTAAGTAGTCCCGCGCGGTTGCTACGATCGCCAGACAGATGATCATGGCGTAGAAATAGCTGAAGACGAAAGTTCAAAAATTACAATTATAATTATGGAAGGTGATTATTTGTGAAATTTCATTGAACCTTGTAACGCGGCAGTTTGTGTAAAGATTAATCAGTTTAATTGAATAAATGAACAAAGTGAATCTAAGATGCATCGTGCATCTTGAATTGCACCCCGGATGTGTTCGCATCACGATACGCGGAATAAAAGGTCAATAGCCCCCCCCCCCCCTCCCCATAACTGTGCAATTTAATGTACGTACAGAACGCCGATCGTCTCTTTCGAATAGCTTTCCGATTTCTGTTTCACGTAACACATGTTAGGGTCCACGTGCACTATGAATTTGATTCCTATGGTAGAATTGTAGAATTCCAGGGCTTGTTCTACTATGTTTTTAGCATGCTCTACCGAACAGGCTGCTGGTATACACAGTGCCCAATTCGCCGTAGTGCCTCTCGGAACGAAATGACCCGGCTAAAACATATAGACATTCTTATTATCACCGTTGTCGGCCAACAGGATTTTCGAACAGACGATAATTTCTGTCAAAACACGTTATGGTATCTTGCGATGCATGATCGAACATCTATCGATTTTGTAATTCGTACTCGACGCAGTTTTGAAACCCCGTCTCGAATTACATTTTCTGCAACATCAGAAAAATGGATAACCTCTGTGAATCGCGATGACTACATACAGGGTGTCCCAAAAATGTCTCGCAATCCGAAAGTGGCGGGTTCCTCGGGTCATTTGAAGCAACTTTTTCCTTTAGAAAAATTTTCTCCGAGGCACCATTAACGAGTTATTAACGAAAAACAGTGACCGATAAGAATCGAGTACGGCAGTTCCGCTCATTGACTCGATCGCCTCACGCCAGCTGAGCTGGGATTCGACCGCCTCAACCGCTGGCGCCGCTGGCTCGGCCGCCTCGCACCAGCTGAGCTGGGATTCGACCGCTCGACCGCTGGCGCGAGGCGGCCGAGCCAACGGCGCCAGCGGTCGAGACGGTCGAATCCCAGCCCAGCTGGCGCGAGGCGACCGAGCCAATGAGCGGAACTGGGTTTCGTGCGTTGGTTGGCTGGGCCGCCTCGCGTCAGCCGTACTCGATTCTTATTGGTCACTGTTTTTCGTTAATAACTCGTTAACGGTGCCTCGCAAAAAATTTTTGTAGAGGAAGAAGCTGCTTCAAATGATCCGAGGAACCCGCCATTTTCGGATTGCGAGACATTTTTGGGACACCCTGTATATATAGTCATACTTCGGAGAACTTATCGTTAACGCGATTACGACGAACATGTTGCTACTCTCTGTGAAATTAGTGCCAGATATCTCGTTCGGTGGATTAGTGTAGAAAATCGGCCTACTCACATCTCGCATACTTCCTCGGAAGGTGGAACGGCCATGCATCAGGTTGGTCGGAAGCCTCATGTCCGGATCATCGGCGTAAAAGTCGATATTCGCCAAACAGTATTTCCCCTGCACCTTTATCGTCGCATTGTTCAACTTCACGTGCGCCATTACTCCCATACACTCGTCGAAATCACCGAGCTGGTTCACGTTGCCCCGCAACAAACCCGATGGGATCTTCGCGCTCGAGTCCAGCACTGTGGAACAATTTCATAGATTTATGATTCGAAAACTATGAGAAACGTTCGCCCTGAAATTCTCATTAGCGCAGCGATACGATTGCGATTACGTCGTAATGTAATTACTAAGCTAACAATTTCATAATCGATCTCAAGGAAGATTCATGGCGACACGTGTCATAGTATATTATGCATATATTGTAATATTAGCCATAACATTACTCAGAAGAGATCAAACTCCTACAATCAGCATGATCTCATCGCAGGTTATCGATTAGCATACGTCTACGTCTGCTTTTGTTTATTCGCTAGGAACTAACGTAACTTTGCTTGTGCTATTTTCTACTTTATTTCCCTATCCAAAAAATGTTGTTGTTTCTTTAACGCGCTATAATTCCGTAAAATTTGGAAGTCACACAATTATGATTTACATTTTCCAAAGCATGAATTCAGTGTGACATTTTATACCGTCCTACCATTTTTTCTCATCGAAAGAATTTTGCAGTTCCAGCAAGACCAATTACATTTCTCGGTAAGACTTGAAAACAAAAAACAATTTTATTATGGAGAGTAAACGATAATGACTGTATAGTTTTTATTTTGTATATATGTATAATGCAGATGTTTCGCATAATATTTTTCCGTGTATGCATATATGTTGCATACGTGCATATATTTTGTATTCATGCATATTTGACTGATGGTTTATCGAGACAAATGTAAATCTCATAAATCGATCTCTAATGGCGCGTCGCCTCAAACGCAAATTTTAATGTCCTTGATGTTATTCCAACTGCATTACGGTATACCACATCGTCGATGATTTCCGTAATTCAATTATATTAGTCGATCAGCTGGAATAAGACATATTGGAGGCAGAGTCGTTAACAAGGAGATAGATTATCGAGGAAGCGTCGGTCTGAAGTGAGACAATGTCGTCAGACCTAAATAAGAGACGCGCAAGATAGCACAGTCGAATAAAGAATAACACTTCTATTAGCAAGTGTATTTCAAATTCCAAGTGTCATTACAAAACTTTAACGCGAAGATGACTAAATCAAGAAATAGTAAACGCTTAATAATTTCTAGCTGGATTGCATCTGTGAAAGATGACTATATTAGTGTAGAGAGAAAGAGAGAGAGAGAGAGAGAGAGAGAGAGAGAGAGAGAAGAGGTGTACTGCAAAATATGTGAAAAACAGATTCAGTGTTACAGAAAATCGCAAATAAAACAACATTTAAAAACAGGAATAAATAAAAGAAATGTTGAAGAACGTAATCAAAATATTGCTAATAGTGCAAATAACGACTTACAAAATGGGGCACATTCTTCAAGAAAAAATAGTTTTTATATTGAAATGTGTCAAGCAATGGTGACGATTAACATGCCATGGAAATGCTTGAATAATAAAGTGTGGAAAGATTGTTTAAAAAAAATATATATAGATCAAGATATTCCAAACGGATCAATGCTTCGCAAAAATTATTGAGACGATTGCTATGATTTGGCCGTTGAAAAAATTCGGAAGGATATTGGCGACAATTACATGTGGATTTCAATGGATGAGACAACAGACGTGACTGATCATTATATAACAAACCTCATTACAGACAAATATTAGTAAAGAAACCTAATCACATTTGTTATTCTATTGCTTTAACGCGTCGCGTGCCGTGCGTACATGCTTATTTGCTTACGTGCTTATTTAATACGCTAAAAAAATAGAACTGAAAAATTAATTTGCACTACAAGGATGGGATACAATAAATTTTTTAATATGAAGAGTAGAGCTTGGCACGGAACCTGTTAATTGAAAGAACAATCATACATTGCACTTTTTGTGGATATAGTCTTGAAAATACTATGCCGCAGTGAAGACGAAGACAAGTTACTGCTGCTTGTTACAGACGCCGCAGCGTACATGTTAAAAAAGCCGAAAAGTATTTCAAGATATTTTATCCAAATACATATATTGCATGTGACGTGTTTGGTGCATGAGATAAATATAATTGCGGAGGAAGTTCGACAGCAGTTTCCGGCAGTCAATAAATTAACATCATCCGTAAAAAAAAAGTATTTTTAAAAGCTCCATTATATACGCGTGCAAAGCTATAGAAATATTTTACAAAACCTTTCACTAACACCAGAACTTGTGCTAACCAGATGGGAGGCATGATCAGAAGCTTCAATTTTTTATGCAGAGAATTTAGAGAAGATCAAAGGAGTTATTAAATCTTTCAATGAGGAGGAGGCAATATCTATTAACACTAAACCTACCGCGGTCAACGTGACCGCTTTCTTATTTTGCAATTCTGAAAAGTTGCGAGACTCTTTCGTGGAAAACGCTTGAATAAGTTATATTATCGGAGCAAGTTTTATAATAAAAACTTTACAAATTCTAAATAAATTCGGTCTTCTCACTTTTGTGAAGCAGTACATGCCAGTTGGTATTACTGCTTGGTAGGTTTAGTGTTAAAACAGCTAGAGAAGCATTACCGTATGAACATTTACAACAGAATTTAACGTTTATATAGAGGTATCTTCAAATCCTGCCGGAAACGATGAAAGCATTTGTCAGTGAGATTACCTGTAACGCACTCAATGGATTTTGTGAAGGTTGTTACGAAAACTATAGAAAATGTATGTACCGGCGGTTGTGGACGAAAGGTTAGATATCATCTATTTTATCATTTTTATTAACAAATTATTAATCGAATAGAATTTTAATAAACATTCCCACGCATGTAAAAGTACTAAATATACGTTTAGTTATTTTCAGATCAATAATACGTTTCAAGCTGTATTACGAAGAAATAATACAGGCAGCCCTCGACTTTCGCACGTTCCACTTCGCACAATTCGCCATTTCGCACATTTTAGAAAATTCAACTTTGTAAGCCTTTGCGGTCGAATGTTCCCTCTGAGCGGACATCATAATTGGATGCCGCAGTAGCAGGCATCAATGGAGCAGGCTACATTGTAATCGGATGCCCTCTCTCAGGGGACATCAGACTTTAGCCATCAGATTACAATGTTGTACCGATCAAGAGGTCAAGACTGTTGAGTCTCTCCATTTTGAAGAAACACCGGAAACTATTACCGATGAAATAGTTAGCCTCATGGATGAATTAAACTTGGACGTCAACAATAACGATGTTAATGAATTAATTGAATCTCACTCAGCACCGCTGTCAAATGAATACCTAATTGAGCAACAATTGATTAACAATAAAATACACGACGAGAGTGAGGAAGAAGAGGCCAGTAAAAACGTCAAGACTTTGACAATTAAAAATATGAATGAAGTCTTTATGCATCTAGACAAATTTTTAACTATTATGGAAGAATGCGATCTTTATGCATCTAGACAAATTTTTAACTATTATGGAAGAAATCTTTATCGCGAAAAGAATAAAAAAAGGAGGTACTCGACTAACTCTTGACAAGTTTGTAAAGAATACAGCCGAAAGCTAAATAAATAAATGAATACTTTAAAACACCGTTTCTGATGCATATCTTTTTACATCCCTCTACTTTCGAACATTCAACATTCGCGTACACATTCAGGAACCAATTGTGTGCGAAAGTCGAGGGCTCGCTGTAACTTTGACATACTATCAAAAATTAGCAACATTTTGAAAAGTACGAACGTCGAAGAGCCACCAGAAATTCCATCACTGTATTAGTCCAAATATAAATACGTCTCGATAACGTCGTGCGATGTAGAAAGAACATTTTCGACGCACAGATTAATTTGAAATGATAAGAAGCACAATTTGACGACTATGGAATGACGAATAACGAATGGAAATGACGAATATGAAACTGTTGCGAAGTACTCTAATTTAAACTATAATAAATGAATTTTTGTTCCACACATTTTGCATCCATTTTGGATGTACATACATTTTGCATAAATCTTTCAAATATCAACATAGCATAGACACTCTTTCCTCTTTCCTCGTTCCTCTTTTAATCGAACGAGTATGTCGAATGCCTGTCTGTGAGATAAACGACGTTGTTGAATCTGAAAATTCGGGAATCAGCAACCTCGAGAATTATACCGTATCTATTCGCCTTACCAGAATGATAGTGCGGCAATTTTGATCAACGACTGTCTCACGGAAGTTGAAGTCGAAGATCGACTTCGACTTTTCGAGCGACGATCGCCGCATTCCGCGACACGCTAGATCTCGACTTACTTTGCAGTGCCCACAGTTTCCGACCCCTCAGCTGCCTCAGGAAGATCTTGCCGTGCTGCTGACACTCGAAATCCTCCATGGCCGTGAAATTTGGCACGAAGGTCGGTACGCGTAGCAGCATATCGTTCAGTTCCGGCAGCGTGAAAGCAGCGTCCGCGCGCACTTTCGTTTTCTCTATCGGGTCGTCTTCTACAAGCAATTAGAAAACAATTAACGGAACACGATAATGCCCGCCTCGAACGAATCGATCGACGATACTCACTGTCGAGTCGTTTAATCTTCGCAGGCTTAGGCGGAGCAACTTTCGGACTGACAGTAGTTTCCACTTTCTTCTTCGCAGGCTGCGGAGGTTGTGCTTTCGGTTTCACTTTCACCGGCTGCTTCTGCTTTTCTTCCGGTCTCACCGGCACCCGATCCTTGCCCCCGTCCTCCCGAGCCTTCTCCCTCGGTGTAGGAACCTCCGCAGGAACTTTCTCCTTGATTTCCGGTTTCGGGGTAGTTTTCGGCTTCAAGGATTCGACATCGGGCTTCGTTACCTTTATCGGTTCGGCTTTCTTTGGAGTCTCCAGCGACTTCGCAGGGGTCTCTGTCGGCTTCTTCGATATGTCCGCTTGCTTCTTGATCGCTTCTACCTTCCGCGGTTCTTCCCTCTTCCCCGCTGGCGGTCTAGTTTCGACTTTTGGCTTCATCGTCGACGGTGATTCCACGGACTTGACTTTATCCTTGTCCGCGTATCTGGCTTTCTCCAGCTTCGCCGGTGGAGCAGTGACAACTTCCTCTTCCTCTTCCTCTCCCGTTTCCTCATCTTCTTCATCGGCCTCTTTGCTTTCAGATTCTTCATCTGTTTCCTGTTCGTTTTCCGCTTGATCCGCGCCCGGCCTCTTCGGCAGCCTAACGTTACTCTTTCCATCGTCTTCATCTTCGTCGCCATCGTACGACTTCTTCAGTTCCTTGAACGGTCTTGCTTCCTTATTCCTGAATCCCGATTCTTCCGTGCTCCTGTCTCTTCTGCTCGACACATTTGGTTTCCATTTCTTTCTCACCGACTGTCCCCCATCTTCGTCATCGTCCTCTTCGTCGTTCCCTTCCGATTCCGTGTCGTGCTCGCGGTCGACTGAGTCGACGATTATCTCCTCGCTGTCTACGACCTCGACGACGGCCTCGTCGTCGTCGTCCTCCGAGTTCTCACGCTCGGCGACCCGATGATCAACGACCCCGACCGGCGACCGTGCCATTCTTTCGTGTCTAACGGGCGTCCCTTCCTCGTCATCTTCGACCGACGTCACCTCGACAGGTGGTTTCCGTCTCGCGAGGATGCGCGATGCGGCCGCCTCGTGCCATTTGCGGGCGGCGAACGCTGTCGAGGTTCTGTCTTGGCACCTGGGAAAGATGGCTGAGTCCGAGCCCGAGCCCGAAACGCAGGTGGCCCGGTGATGTTGCGACGACTCCTGGACCATCGCGGAATTCGAGGCCATTTGGCTCGATTGCTCGCGTATTCGGAATCCATAGCAGCTGCTATAGGCCAGCAAGAGCAACAGGACTGGCACCAACAAACCGATACACTTGCCCAGAAGGGCGGAAGCCATGTCACCGGAGCGTTCGCATGGAAGAACCGCTGGCCAAGCACTGACGAGCACTGAACCGACTTCTGGTCGGAGCGATCGAGGCAGTAGCGTGTGCGGTCGCCGCGACCAACAGCCACCAGCAACGATCACTTTCTGATAATCGGTCGCGTTTCCCTCTCCTCGCCGTCGGTATCACCGTGGTCGTCGTCGTCGTCGTTGTCGTCGTCGTCGTTGTCGTCACCGTGGTCGCCCGTTCAAGACGACACAGGCCAACCTGGAGAGCCTCGAGGGACTATCAAACCAGAAGACAAGCCAGACCCCGGGGCTCCGCGTCCACCAGCGGCCGTTCCTTCGTGAAAATTAGAACGCATGGCATCGTCCCAACCAGCTAGGAGTTTTATTTAGCATCAACATTTCGGCGGAGGCAGAGTCCGAGGCGAGCTCTTGCACGCACGCGCCGAACGTACCACGACCACGACCACGAACCACGAACCACGACCACGACCACGACGGTGAGGAACCGTGGCTATCGTCGCGTCGCTATCCGCTAACTTGCCCGACGCGGTCCAACAGCTATAGCACGCGGTTCCCCCGCACGGACATTGCGCAACCAACGACCCGCAACCGCCGAAGCATCCTCACCTCTATGTTTCCCCGCCTAAGACAGCTCGAAAATAATGTCCGATACTACACCACTCTCTCGCCCACGATCCGGTGATCCCGCGGCGTCGACCGACTCATCCGTCGAAGGCTGTCGCGATTCCCTCCCCTATCCCTCCCCATCGAGCTCTCTGCTGGCCCCGGCACGGCCGCTTCTGCGCTACAAAGTCTACTCTGGTATGCAGCCTTTGGGAACTGTCCAGATGTTGGAAACCGATTCGCGGATAGACTCGCCAATCTTTCGGACCCTTTTTAACCGGCGCGAGTTCACGTTGACACGCGCCGATCTCGCGGCTCGCGACCCCTTGCCATCTCGCCATACCGCCGCGATTCAATTCGCACATGTTCGTGTTATCAGACTCCCGTTTTGAGAATTCAACCAAGTGGCATTGATCTTTCTTTTTCGATGCCGAAAGGTCTAATTGACTGGACATCGTAGAAAACAATTTTTCAAGAAATTGCAGGTGGTTGGAGCGACGAAAGGTAGAAATGAAAATGCATGGTGATAATTTCACCGTAATCGGTTCACTCGTAGACGAGCTGTAGGGCCGCTGAAAGATTTCTCACGGTTGTTCGCCGAAAGTCGTGAAAATCGGCGATTTTCATTATTCTTAATTGCTTGCAGCTCGTGACAACGTCAATCAGTTTCAATGACATTTTCAGCATAAATTTGAATGGCAGTGGAGTTATGTTGCTACAGTGCTAGACGTTATACTAAGTTTTTAACGATTTCTATGATAGATCGTGTTTCCATGTAAGATGTATTTCGATAATAGAGAATTTAGCTAAATAAGGTTCTAATGCGTTTTTAACGATCAACTAGGGATAATTGAGAATTCAGCTTTCGAGGTTCTAATGTATTTTTAACGATCGCATAACCATAACGAAGTATGTAATAATATAACTCACTGTCAGAATGTTTACAAATGAACCAAGCAGAAAATAATTAATAAATAATCACGTCTATTTGTTCCCAACTTATTTTCCTAATAAAATCCATTACAACAAAAAACATTTTCTTTTTTCATTGAAAAAAACAGTTAAGTATTCCATTTGCATTTCTGCTAAAATTCAAGTCAACATATGAAATCAAGTCACAATCAACATAAATTAACTTTTTCTGGTGGGAAATTTACTAATGGCGTTATTAATTCCTATTGTCTGACATCGAGTTAGTGTGACTGTCAAGGACATCGTAGGTCAAGCGATACCGAACAGAATGATTAAACTCGACAGACGACATTAGAATACCTCTAAAAATGATCACACCTCAATCCGATTAGACCGCTTTGGGAGTTTCGATAATCTTCCTCATCGCATTCAGGCAGCAAATTAATGTACAGTCGATTGACTGTCTCCTCGTTTGGGACATCGTTTTAGCCAGCATCTCGAATCTCTTGTATCTTTTGTGAAAATAAAAACAGATTACTGTTAATTATAAGACTGGCAAGATTCAATATCTATATTCCACATCACCTATACCAATATATTTGTAACAAAATCTGAAGTTGAATCTAAATCGGGGAGTTCTACGGCAATTGACGAATCCATGCAATTTATATTTTTTGTGAATAGCCTGTACCATTTATTACGTGGATATGTAGGAAAATTTTTAACACATCAATCGTCTAGAAGCTTGACGTAAATAATCAAAAATCGACGACTCTTTCGGAATGTATTGTAGCTAATGGGTTGAATCAATTTTTCTAAAATTTTAAAACTATTTTACTGCACTATTGACATAAATATCAGTATATTTTTTACTTGAAAACAGTTATACACAAGGAAAGCACAACTGCATGTGTGCTGCCTGTAGTTACGAAAGGTGCTTCACACCGTGCAGCGTAACACCTGTTGCATTAATTCGATTCTCAAAAGTCGATTGTATTTCTTTCTTTAAATTTAACTCTTTCAATCCGAGATTTTTCTATTAATATTTTAGTTACTTTTCCACTAGAGATCGATAATACTAACAAGGAGAATTTGGCAACCCGGAAATTTAAAAAAAATATGAAACCGTGTACCAGCAGAGTAAGTCATTCGTAACATATACCTACTTTCCGTTCCTGTCATAATTCACTTTTAAAGGGTAATTTCACCCCTTAAAGAATTTGTAAAATTACCTTTTTCGTCGAATATCTCAAGAACAGTAAGAAGTATTGAAAACAAGTTTAAACCAACGTTGGATGTTATTTTTATATTTACAAGAATGTGCAAATAAATTTTTCAAAAAATCGATACATTTTGAGTTACCCCCTTCAGCATCCCTCGAATTTCATTTTTTGACATTTTTAAATTTAGGTTAAAGTGTTTTTCAATATGGCTTATTTCACAAATATTTTCTTATAAATGAATGAAACATTTTTATACATAATACATTACAACGTGCTTGAAGATTTTGCAATAATTAGCAAGAGATAAATATAAATTTAAATACACGCAATGAAATCGAATTACAGTCGCTTACCCACAACCAGTATTCATCGCTCAGATTCCAAAAGCTTTTTAAATATGCTTGGTTTAGAATCGAATATTTGGAAGTGCATCTTTCACAATCCTGCGGACTTTTGATATTTTAGAAATAAGAAACCTTAGTTAGCATTCTACAGGTTATCGATCACGTTCACGATATTTGACGCATTAATATGTAATCTAATAACAAGTTCTATATTTAACCCATTTAGCTGCTTATACTGCGCGTTACTTGGAAAAGGGGAAGTATTATTTTTTGTTAACACACGATACTTATAATACATGTTGCGTTGAGGGTAGTTGAGTCAATATTTTGTCATTCCACGTGCTACTAAACGATATTATATATACAATATTGAAAAATATGTGCAAACAGGAATACCGCCTCCTTGTTCTACAACATGATTAGCAATAAAAATTTGAAAATTTGCAAATATGTACAAGTATGTAAAATACTTCCGTATTTTTTTAAGTATTTACAATTATTACAAGAAATCTGTTAACTACTCGCGGTTTTTGCTGACTAAGGTCCGAGGGATCAAAGTTGAACGAGTCAGCTCTTTCGAAAATGATTTACAACGCTTTGACCGCCTCGCCTGTTGCCCGACTCTTTAACAAAGTATTTCAGTCACGATACGTGCGGGAAGACATACTTTTTATTACGAGTTAGGAAATCCGACAATAACCGGTGAGTAAATTGCTGACGCATATTTTCACTCACCCACTTTCGTTTTTATTCTCTGAATTAGGCTGAGTTATGCCAAACACTCTGGGAAGACCGTCTGATAAGTCAACATGTTAAGAATTTACGAAATGGCTCGACCTTCATGGGAATAATCAAACAGGTTTTCCAGAAATTCTTAGGAATATATGTATGTGTGTTTAGAAAAGGAACCACCTTTCTCTTGCCCATTGACGTGGAAAAATATACGTTGTATAGCATTCCGTAGACATATTCACGTATTTCCGATTAATGGCGAAATATCGAACTCAGGAGCCGACGTGTTTGGTACTACTAAATTTTACCAAGTGGCTGCCATGTGCATTCAAATTCTTGTATTCATTGTATCTACATTGTGTTCGCGATGAACTTGCATCCCGTGCCAACAACTGCGTATTATATTATATAAGATTTCGACTAAAACTTATGAATATGATCAGAAGTAAGATGGGTCGGAAATACAACGTTCGAATTCGCTATTGTTTCTGTACATCGTCTTAATCAGTAACGAAGACGAGAAGTCGGTGGAATCTCAAGTGATACCAGTAACGACAAATCATAGACAGACGCAGCAGCAGCAGTCGTTCGAACGTGCGCGGAATCAACCTTTATTAAAATCGATTTACTTGACAATTAGATGTGTTTATTTGCATTGGTGATTATTAAATATATTTATATAATTTTTATATTTCCAATGCGAGAGGAGAAACACGAAATATACTACACAGCAGAATGTATGATAAAAGGCTGGAGTATAATGTACAAAATATTGTACTATGATATAATTTGCGAATAATTTTTACGCTAATTGTGATTTCGTAGTGAGCGCTGTTTGTAATTAAGTTCAAATTACTCTCTCTCTCTTGCCGTTTTCTTTATCAAGTATAATTGAAATACTCACGAGAATTATCCGCTCGGGAAATTCAATCTCCAACGCCAATTGGAGTAGCTGCGAAACCTTGAAACTGGTAGCCGATCAGTATCGACAGATAACTGAATTTTTCAGACTGGTCGCGTCATCTACGTTAAAATACTGAAACTCTTAATTAAGTGGTACGGGCAGCTTGATTTTATCAGAGACAAGGTACAGGAACAGAATTAGCAGCCGATATATTTTTATGCACTACAGACCCATTACCATAGATGAGGGGTATTAGAGATTTTATTGACTTGTACTGCTTGCAATTTTCAAAAATTTTTCGAAAAATGTTGCGAACATTTAAGGAGTAAGGATCAATGAAAAATCGGACGTCGGCAAATTTTGGCCCTCCGACTTGCAATCTTCGGAATGTTTTCGAAAAATGTCCTAAACTTTTAAATAGTACAAGAACCGACAAGGTATCAAAGTAAACTGGACGACCATACAATGTCTCGTGGCACGTATTCTGAAATACCGACATCCCTGAAAACCATAGATTTTCTCGCACCCTCTACGAAGATAGAACAATCGGCTAGAGAACTACGTAAGACTGCGGCAGAGAAATTTCGTTTCTATTTGACAGTGTTGTCGGCTCTATACATGCAATGTTGCGGCGTGAGTTCGAGACTTTCCAGCTCGTCGAATCATCGAGGCAAAATTTCTAATTGAAGATTCAGACGAGATTGCACAACAGATATCATAGCCACAGACTTAGGATCCGTACAGACGTTGCATGCAATGCTCTTTTTTGTCCCAAGATCTGAATTACCGACTCTGTAGAAAATGCTGTGGTACGATAGCGGACTCCACCTAAATGGAATGAACTAGTGAACTACATATGACTGTGTAGCGGCACACGGCCGACGACCGTAATAACCATGAAACTGTCCACTTGCAGATGTCAAGGGTTCGGCAGAGAGAAAACGTCCTTAACTTTTGCAAGCACCGGAAATTCCTTTGTTTCTTTATTTTTTATCACTGCCACATGTACTGCAGGCCTAGCCGCGGAGAAAGTCGCCGGCCGTGTACCGCTACCCGGCCGAACGGCCAGCGCGCCCCTACAGCGAGGGTTGGACGATGGCTGTCTCCCCTGCCAAACTAAACGGGGGTAAAAGAAGACAGCAAGTCTCCCAAAAAGGCGTGGCCTTATAAATAATATAAATAAATAATATAAATAACGGAGTCAAGAAACTGCGCGAGCTTCCTCTCGTCTAACTATTCCGCCGAGCTTCTTCTTGTACTTATCCACACCGCGCATCATTCATGTACCTCGCTGAATATAGTCCAGTGGAGTTTCACCCTGTGTCCTTCTGTTGTAACCCCGAACAACACGTTACAACTGCAACAGAGGAAGGTGTATGTCTCAGGTGGCTTTTACAGCCACATATTGAATGGACCATCGTTTATTAAATGTACCTCTTCCTTTTCATTTTTTTTTCATTTGACAAATGAAACCAAGCTTAAGTCTGATTCGGACGATTTAGAAAACGAAAAGGAAACACTATCGATGAAAAGATGCACCCACTTGGCTAAAAGTATGGTTCTAACATATCATAAATCTCAGTTATAACTGTTATGTGATTGTGTTATTGCAGTAGGGATGTGATGATATGTGTAGTTCGACGCTAAGATAATATAGTGTAATACACATATATGCACTATCTTAGCTTTTATATTGAGTATATTAAAAAGATACAGCATTTGTATTGGTATTGGTGATGGGAGGTGGTATACCGCAGGAGAATCATAATCGTTTGGGGTTTGTAGGTTTCATCGAGGGATATCATCGTACGAAGACATTTCATCGCTGATGAATGTGTAATTTTAATACTTTAATTTAATACTTTAATTCGAAAATTGTTGAAATTGGTATTCCTCCGATCGTAGGCTTGCAGAGGCTTGCTCACAAGCGGAGCTCGTGAGTGAGTATTAGGGATAGCGTCCCAGAGGTGCCTATAGGTCGTTAGGATTCGTAATTTAAGTTTGTTTGATTTCGTTTCCACCATTTTCGCAGAAATTGCACTCGTATACGGGTTACCTTGGCACTCCTGTGCTGGTGTTAGTTTTCCTATTTCGCCCCCTCACCCTTTTTGTATTCTCATTAACCATAGTCAGTCGTTTCGGGTTCACTAGAGGGTATGAATTATCATCCGCCCTGAGATTATCATGCGCCAAGAGATTGTCATCCGCCGAGGGATTATCATCCGCTGAGGGGTGCGTAATTCCAGTTTCTGTAATGCGTGCGAACGAGCGTCTTAATTAATAATTGCTAGCGGCTTAAATAATAATTGTGTGCGTCTTAGTTAATAATTGTGTGCGTCTTAATTAATAATTGCATGCGTGGTTATTTAAGTAGTGTTAAGATCGCTCAGGGGCTTCCGACTCACGGGAGCGCCCGTAAGAATTGGAGCCTTGTGCTCCGAGTCATTTTGGTCCTCGTGGATTGGAGACTTCCTTGATCCACTTTTGACCCGCAATGTAATTACTCGGCATATGCATGCGTGCTAGCGTATTAGTTGAGTAAGTCGTCGTTATTAGAAAGGGAGCCATAATGAATACCGACTTCGCTCTGACTCCCTTTCGAGTCTCTAAAGCAGCAAATAATCCTGGTATACAATATATGCCGACATGGAAATGGCAATTCCTATATCTCGTTTGTGCTCTTATGTTTCTACTGTAATCAGCCAAAAGTTCACTCGTGCCAGTTTGGCAGTTCAGTAATTATGATTTAATGAATAATGGTTGACACTTTATTTTACGGACCTGTAAAATTAACAATTCAAAATTCTACCGTAGAAGGTACTAGCAGTCTTCGACGTCTCTCTTCTTCTGACGGTAATTTTGTCTACCAGTTCAAACATTTAGCGACAGATGGCGCTGAAGCTTAATTTTTACATAAATTAAAACAATTCAGAACACATTTTTCCCAACATGAAAGTAAAAATTAATTCCAACTAAATTTTGGCAATTAATTTTAACTGCCGCATGATCATTTTATTTTAATAAATATAGTATACATTGTAGACGATTTTCCAACAGTAATAGCCAAAACAAGATAAGAAAGTTGTTTGCAAAGTACAATATATACTTACATTACTCCTGAGAATACGTAGATACAGTTTGCTGGATAATCTATATTTTAATATAAAACGAAAACAAATCTCGTCCTTTAATTTGAAGAAAAGTAAATTAAGAACATGAGATTCACTAATAGCCACAAAATCTATCTATAGAAAAATAAGATACTGGATCAGCACGTGAAAAAAAGAAAGATCTAACTAGACTCGCCAGCTAAGTGGCCTACCGCGCAAGGATTTCAATGAATGCTTGTCGATGTATGCGTATTTATCACAAACGGTGACAACACTTTATTAATACTCTCCACTTATCTCATTATCTTGTCTCGTGGGGGCGGAGGTGTGAGAGGGGGTGTAGATAAAGCGAGATTTGGCTAAAAGCAACTGCGACGGGATTTACGAAAAGCAGCTACGACATTACTTTTATTACGTCATCCTACGTATAAACATCGAACATTCGGACTGTATTTCAGCACAGGTTTCGTTCGATTCTGCTTAATTACAATAATATATTTGTATATTTATATGGTGTGGCTGTACGTGTGTATGCATGTATGTATGTACGTATGCACGTCTGTCTGTCTGCATGTATGTATGTATGTATGTATGTATGTATGTATGTATGTTTGTATAATATGTTCTGGTATATTAACTTCCGTACATTAATATACCGTCTCTCTCTCTCTCTCTCTCTCTCTCGCTCTCTCTATACATATATATGTATGTATATATGTATAATATACATATATTATACACTATAAATATATATATGTATACGTTTGTTTCGTGTTAAGTGTTAGCTCTTTTTCTTTCTATTATAAATGTAAAATACTGTCATGCATGTACTATGGAGTCGTGACTCAAATCGAACGCATTCACATATTTATTAGCACAATTCTCGTGCAGATGTCTCGAGGTCACGTGTACATATCTTATCCTTTTGAGTGTCATTGGGCCATACGGACATTTGGAAAAGTCCCATCGAAAAATACCAGATGGGAAATGACAGGCAAAGCGATAGCCCTTCTCTAATTAATTTCCCAGTGCGCTAAGTAAACTATGCAGCTTATGATAAATTTCAGTTTAGTACAGAAAACAAATCCGAAAATGGAGTCGGCTTGACTCTGCGAACTTATGGGATTTATAAGCACTGAATAAGAGAAGCGCGATCGCATCGACCTGCACTCAAACGATTCAATATATCATGATGCCATAAACGCTAGACGCCAATTGACGTCCACCGCACGAATAGAGTCCGCGTCGAAGAGTCTGTCGTACCCAAATGAGCCCCGACTCGTATGCGTGTGTGATCCTGCCACGCTCCGATTCCAAAGAATCATTTTTTATTTTGTACAAGAGTGCTACCATTCTATCAGAACAGAAAGGAACAAATAAAACCAGAGACTACACCCTAGGACATAGTTTCTCAACCCTTTCGCTCGCCCTCTCCCTCAATACTACATTTATCAGCAGAATTCCAGGAACAGTTAAGCGTACAATTTTTTAACACTTTACCTACCGACGGAAATCTTCTTACAACTTACTTTCAACTGTAATTTATCAAAACAAAAAACCTAATGTAAACTAAAATTTTCGTGATTCCTAAGTTTCCTCAACATCCACATTGGGAAATTTAACTAACATATCACGCACACACTTCTCAGCCATGCTTGCAAAATTAAGCAATCGATAATTTTATAGTAATTTACAAATTATTTCGACATAACGTACAACTTTGAGTAAGGGCGTTCAACTACTTCTCACAAAAACATCTTTATAATTGTAATGACTGCAAGATAAAGAATCTGAGACCGGTGGTTCGACCGATGGTGGTACATTAGGTGTTAAAAATCTTACAAACTTCCGGTAGGCGAAGTGTTAAGTGTTGGTTTAAAAACCGTTTGATTGATAAAATATTGCAAGTTTATTTTCAATGCTCTGCAAGACCTTCAACATCCTCCAACTATCCCCAATATCTCAACAAACGTCTCGCAGTATTTTCCCGCCCCTACTGGTGGGCGTCAGCGCCACATTGACGAACTATGTCCTGGGACATGAACTTCCCTCCCAGACAGAAAGAAGAATAACGCCATTCTAGAAAAATGTAACGACAGTCCCGCGCATTCAGGTTATCCTTAAAAGAAGAGGCTCCAGTTTATCGTGATTGCTACAAGGTTTTATTATCAATGGATCGAAAAGTGGCAAACAGCGATGCACGAACGACGACGAAACACACAGGTAATACAGCAGAACGATGTCACACGGCTGAATTACGAACTTCGTTTTTATTGTTCATCAAAATAGTTTAGTACCACATCGAGTCAAAATGGTCTGGCTCACTTGGAGGATTGAGGGATGCTTGTGGAGATGAAGAAGAAGAAGAAGAAAAGGTAATGGACTTGGTTCGCCTAAACGACGGGATCAGATTAAGAAAAGGTAACCAGCTCAGCGACTGGTCGAATAGTTTGCCAAGCATTGTTTTACACGAGGTCTTGACGAGTGGTCGTCAAATACGCGAAGTTGTATGGTGTGTACCCCGATCGATCGTTCCACTCGTGGCCTTGAGCTCTATCCCCATCTCGTTTTCGTCTACGTTTCGTCTACCGGCTAATAGTAGTTTAGGGTTAACTAGAAAACTAGTACCTCTCGTGTCACGAACCCACGCAACGGACTACACGCTCCTGAAATATGCACTTACGCGTATTCACCACCGCCCCTGCCACTTTCTAGCGTGTTTCCTGTTTATTAATAATGCACGTTGTCTGGACGCCATACAGTGTCTGCTCTTTCTCTCTTTCTCACTCACTCTCTCCCTTCGTCTCTCTTTCATCACTTTTTGTCATTCTCGTTGGCAGTACCATTCTCGTATACTCTATAAGGTGTCCTCAAACGAAAAGATCTTTGCTATGAACTCTGAGCAAAATTGTTACAGCAATATTTTTAAATGCATCTTTCTGGTACCCTTGTTATTATGGGCTTTACTTTTTAGCTACTAGAAGTCTTGCAAATTTTTTGAAATAGTAGAAATATTTCCTTCAAAAAACTTTTGGTATGCAAATTATTGAATGATTTGCTTGCGAGATTATCTCAAATGACATTAAAATTCTGAATTATTCATCAACCATGTATAAAGATAGAAATTATGAGTTGCTTGATTCGAGAAGCAACTATATTATATAGAGGCATTTACTGAACTGATCATTTCTACTCAGAACGATGTTTCCTTCGTTTGCGAACACTTTATAAGCGTACATGTACAATTGATCTCGTCAAATCTGTCCTCGATTATGGAGGAACAATTCTCGAATAATTCTATCAATATCAAATGCAGTATTTATTTCCGTAGTGCTTGTCAATGTTACCTTCACAGTGTCCATAGCACATCTTGGTCATCGATTTAAAGATATACATAAATTTTATTGGATTTAGGACGTTCCCGTAATAAGTAATCAAACAATATTTCTTTGACACAAGAGTAGTCATCCGAAGAGACTGGAGGGACAAAGGAAGCAAGCACTATTGGAATAAACACTGTGTTACGCTCACATAAAGGGACGCAGCAATTGAAAGTCGAACGTTTTACACGGACACCATTATGCTCGCGCTGTTAATCTATTTTCCATTTTCCATTTTCCACACTTGTTCTCGAGTATTTACATATTCCTCTGACTCAGCTTCTGGGAGCCAGTGTTACTCGATCAGCGTCGGATAAATTAGTCGACGTTCAGTTACACGGTAAGTAATGACGCCGCACAGTTTTGTTTGTTTCCAGTTTCTCTCTCTCCCTCTCTCTCTCTCTCTCTCTCTATCTTTCTCTCTGTAAATTATGTGTATCTGTGTGTATCTCTTCTACGTCGATGTACATATTGATCGACGGTCGCCTTTTTCCGACTTCACATCGTCAAGAACGCTCGAGGAGAGATCAGCGCAGCAAACGAGACCGAGTAATGATGTATATTCGAAGGAGGATGAAGGAGGACGACGCGTACGAACAAACCAGAAAAAGATGCTTTGCTGCGTGTAACGATTAACTGCGAACGATCGGCGGCTTCGTAGACAGGCGTTCTCTGTCTTGTTTTCGCACTAAATGAGAAGGATCTTCCTCCTCGGCCCATAGAGAATAGTATCGTCATGGCAAATATGTCCTCCCCGCGTTCGGAAAGCTAATTATATTTATCATCGACCGACTCTCCTCGAATCGTGCAGATCGTTACCGTAAAACGTACATATAATATTAATAATTACTAAGTATACTTTATTATAAATTAATTAAAGAGCTCTTAATCGTACGTGTTTATGTGTATATAATAATATTAATATTAATAATAGTAGTATGTACGATAACTTGTTTTTTTCTGTTTAATCCTCAAATTTGCAGCAGCTTACTCTTTCGGCCGTTTTACTTCTTCTCGTTTTGTTGTTGTTGCTATTGTTGTTATTCTCTGCATCGAATTCGGTGCGCATCGTTCGCCTTCTTTCCACAATCTCTGTCTTACTCGACGAAGGTTCAACGAAACTCTGACATGGTTTGGTGACTAGCGGCACTCCCAGATCTTCACCGTTTGGTCGACGCTACCGGTGACCACGAAGGGATGGCTTTTGTGAAAATCTAAAAAACAGCATGAAAAATTACTCCATTTAAATCCAGCCTTTTCTCATCGCCGTTGCATTATCCAAGGAACTTGCAATAGTGCAATGTAAATAAATAATTCTAAAGGTCTAGACTTCATCGAACGTTACTAGATTACACTGGTATACTTTAAATTAAACAATAATACATAATCAAGTGCGATGTAAATATTTGCTTATTCCCCATTCCAGTCTTTACAAATTTCAATGTTCGAACCTGTCGAACAATAAATTCATATTCGAACTTGTTCGAACTCTAAAACTTTTAATCCATCACAAAGTTACTATTTAATGTACATTTGAAGCAAATGTTTTTGTTTGACTTCATTGACTATTGCATAAATCTAACCTGGAGATATCGGTCAACGACAAACAGAAGTGACAAGAATTTTATGGAACAAAAGTGATGAACAATTTAATGGGTTAAGCAGAGTAGAATTGTTCTGCTTACCAACGGAAGTGCAGAAATGTACATGCGCCTCGAGGGTTTTCATAGCTCGTTTGTTGCGTGTGTCCCAGACTCGCAGTGTTTTATCGTCAGAAGCACTGACGATAAACTTGCCACCGGGATGGAAAACAATACCGCGCACCCAATTATCGTGACCGAGAAGGGCAAATAGGCAGACGCCAGCGCCGACATCCCAAACACGGATTACTTTGTCTCGCGAACCAGATGCGAGGAAAGGTCCTTCGTGGGCACCTTTGTTGTCAGCACCTGCTGCAGCATTGATCGATGCTCTTGCACTGTCCGGTGCCCATGCGATACACTCCACCACGTGGTCATGGTCTCTGAGTTCAACCTGGAAATCGTATTTACATCATAAACCATTCAATCCCCTTTAACGGCTTATCTTTCGAACCAATTGCATCGATTTCAATAAGCACTTTATGAACATAGCATCAGCCACTCGCATTTTACTAGTAGTGATTCATTCATACGCGAACAACGGATTTTCACGTAATCGTGATAAACATGAATGAGAGAAATATAACAAAGTACGCAGTTTCATGGTATAACAGATATACACATATATATGTGCAGATTAATATTTATTTTACATAATGGCTATATGACTGCATTTTCTCATCGTCGCATTGTCGACCTCATAGCAACAACGTATTGCCAAGTAATGAGGATCAAAAACAAATTTTCAAATTAACTGCAACAGCTTCCAATGCTCTCAAAGGTCCCGACCTCCCTCCCACGTGGAAGACGTTACGGAAGGTTACCAAAGTTTCCGAAGATAAGGCGCTGCTATGTAAAGTTCTAATAAAATAATGAAGTACCTTCGTTTCCTTCGTCGCCACGTGCCAGACTCGCACGGTTTGGTCATTCGAGCAGCTGGCGATCAATTCGCCGCAGGGGCTGACTCTGGCCATCCGTACCCATTCTCTGTGTCCCGTCAACGTCTTAACACAATAACCCGTCGCGACTTCCCAGATTTTTATGGTCTTATCCCTAGAGGCGCTCACTACGAAATCGCCCTGTGGCACAAATGCGACCGAGCTGACACTGTGATCATGCCCGTGCATGGTTTTCACGCAGGCGAATGACTGGTGAAAGTCCCACAACTTAATAGACATGTCCGCACTGCATGAGACTAACAGTTTTCCGGAGACATCGAATGACACATCCTGCACGCTGTCAGTGTGACCCTTTAATGTTCTCTCGAATTCACCGCTCTCGAAGTCCCACACCTGAGAGAAGATGCGAACAAGTTAGTTGCGAACAGTTTCGGCAACAAGGTTGCAGACACTATTGACAAATGGGAAAAGCTGAAAGCAACCGGCTGCCACCACGAGAAAGATCTCTTCTGGGACTAGTTTGGTAACATCATTTTCTACTTTCCATTAACTCCACTTATCCGCGGAATCAAGATTTATGTTCTCAATTAATTTTAGCCCTTGTTGCTTCCAACCAGCGCTGATGCTGCTAGCAGAGACGCATCGTTCTACCCCAGTCGTTAAGCGAAGACTGTTCTCAGAACTTTCACACCTTGGTATGTAATAATTCAATGTGCACGCGATGGAATCATAAAATTTAGGGCACGTTAAAAATTATATACTACTTTCAACGATTCTTGCAATAATAAACTTATTGACGTGACAGAGACTCTATGTAATTTTGAAACCGGAGTTTATTGATCTTTACAAGATGCTTTCATTTTGCGAAAGTATTTATACACTCCCTGAAGAATCTACTTTGTATTAACTATTTTATTTCTTTTAATTTGATTTCAAGAATGTATTTTTAGAAAAATATGAGTTTGCAGAAATGCTTATTGGTTTTGTTATTGTGGTAACAGTGGTGTTTCAACATTTTCCACGTTTTACCTTGATGGTGGCGTCTTCACTGGCAGACACTATAAGACTAAAAACGGGATGAAAAATAACTCTGTTGATGGGAGCCCTGTGTCCAGTGAGACTAAATTTTTCTGGTGGCCTAGGTATCCACTCGGACGGCGATCGTTTGCTTCGTGTCGGTGCTCCCTCGATGAACTCTTTTTCTGCTTCGGACAGTTTAGATTCAAGTTCCATTACCTACGAGTTTAACAATCAGTTGAACCTTCTATTCCACTCTATTCCGTACGATTTCTCTCTAAAGCGATGAACACTTTGGATGATTCATAGAAATAAGCGATGTTCTCTCGAAAACCTGCTCACCTTTTTCTGCAAACGTATCACCGAGGTCCATTTCTTCTCGAGAAGACCCCCGTATTTTCTCTCCACCTCGCCAGGCATGTCAGCTTCTTTCTTGAACGCCTCGAGGGCATCTTGGTAGCCATTGGTGCTGAGATAGTCTGCGATCGCCTTATTTCTGTAAGATCATATCAATTACAGGCAACCCTCGTAAAACACGGTATTCCTCCAACATGATCAGGTAGTTGAGAAAAAGCTCAGCATAGTAACCAATCTCACCTTACATAGAAATTTATTACAATCTCTAAAAAAAGAAAAATAACAAACACGCTAGAATGACAATAATAGTAATTTGAAATGACTCAGTTTTACAGAGCTTGGCAGTGAAAATTAAGCAGCATGAGAATGTATAATAACTTCAATATACTTCGCAATTTCGATGTCAAATTAAAGTGGACATATAATATCTTAGACGAAGTATTATTCGCCTAACACAACAAATTTCACGATCCTCAACATATCATTAAAGAGTAATACTAATTCTCCGGCGATGAACGTTCCAGATTACTCTTTCGCTCGTTCCGATTCGTTCCATAGATACAATAGCTCCTCCCAAGCACGCATTAGCAATCTGGAATTCTAGTGAAATAACATATGCTTCTCGATAATGACATTTCACTGGAGAACCGTCCGACAACGTAGGCAGATACAATAGAGGGCACAGGTTGAGTACGTGGGAAAGAGATTGAAAGTCGGGCAGAATTATGCCGGGGTGAAAGGCCTGAAGTCGGTCGTTCGTCTCTGTTCACCTGTATCCGCGTGATAGTACGTAGGGAATTATCACTTGGAACTGGTAAACAAAACGAGCAAGCTGGCGAACACAATCCTTGACCTAATCGCGGGGGTCCCTTCCGTTTTGCCACCCCTCAGAATGTCGTCCAAGGAAACCAGATACGAGAGGGACAACTTGATGCTTCGAGAAAATATTCAAAGCATGATTAATTCTCTTGTGTCTCCATTTTTGGTAGTGTCGAAATGATTCTAACTAGTTTAAAATTTTGGGAAACTGTAACAGCTGGAAAAGTTATTGGAGCATTTTTAGAACACTGAACATTAGATAATAAGAGAGCAATAGTCGAAAATCTTCTTCAACATCTAAATAACCTATTAGATTATTCTTGTATATAGACTGTAGACTTTATGCATTTATTACGAAGACTAATTGATGCGATTTAAGACGGAATTTATGTAAAGGGTCTTCATGGAAATATAAATTCGTGTGGGTACATTTATAGAAATCAAGTTCCTTTAGTATGTTAAAAATTTGTGTCGAACCTATTGCAATGAATATACAGATTTTATAAAGCTTCTTCCGATCATTTTTCTATGATGAATTTCAAAAGATGCACAATATTATAATATATAATTCGTTGTCTAATTATATTATTACAGAAAGAAAGAAATTTCTATTTGTCTCCTGTTTCTTGAGACTAATGTAGCCAATCTTGATCTTGCATAAAAATCAGCAAATGCGAAACATGAAAATGAAAATACGCAGAACATTAATGCTTAGAATTTTACTTTCGTATTTCACTTTTCAAAAGTCTGCAAAGATATGTCGCAATAGTCGTTCTAAAGTAGGTTCGAAAGATCCCAAAAAATAGTGATAATAGTCTGTAGTTTCTTTAGTGTTTACCGCGTCGCTAACAATTGTCACACGCAGCACGATTTTTAGAAACCGTACGACGATTCGTAACCATTCATCCATCGCCAGTACGTGAACACACTGACTAAGGACTGAACCGTTCGGCCATCTTTCTTCGCACCTACATCTCGAAGAAACTGTGCCGAAACATTCTCCGGTAACACCTGCAACCGGAGCCCTAAACATTCACTCGCGTCATTCGCTCTCTACGAATGTGTGAAACGGACGTTGTTCTTTTTTCCTTTGATTTTTCCGTGAAAATATGTGGCCGCTTTAGAAAGGTGAGAAGAACCCCTCTTTCTTTCTTGAACTGCCCGCGAGGTCATGTTACTTTAATGGTATGTACACTTCCATTCATGAACGTTAAGACATCTCTCCTTTGTTTCGAGATAATTCGATGCTTCGCACGGGTCGCGCGTTTTGCGCATTGTTTATCGGACTTTGAAATTTCCTAACGAAGCCTACGGCGATCGTTAAGACCGCGGATTTTATGCTCTTACAGCAAAAAGCAGTCGAGGATGTCGATATATTATTTCACATCAATTAAAATTACCAAAGAAATCAGGAACTTTACAGTTACTATCTTCTTCTTACAGCTGATGCAGTTCATGTTCATTTCATATCAAGATCCACACTCCTGTGATCATTACTGTTCGTTCGTTCGTCCTTTATGTTTTGAAATCTACTATCATCGATGTTATAAAAGCTTTCAAGAAACGAAGCTCTTCTGATGGTGGGTTAATTACACATCTGTGCATCCATTTTTTTTTAGTTATCCGAAGCATGCAATTCTTTGAAGATTTGTCAAGTTTCTTCGTGCCAAAGAAACTCTCAAGTATAAAATTTTAAATGTTTTCAATTCCAAAATACAATTTCCCACATGAAATTCAAGTGTTGAACATTTAGAAATATTGCTTCTACAATAATATTATTTATCCTTATGTAATCGTTTCGACAAGAAGGATTTATAATTTCGATAAAATTTCCATTGCTCGTGATCATCTGTGAGTTTGTCAAAAAATTCCATTAACAAGTTACTCAAATTTCTTTATATACGATCAATTGCAATTTACTGCATAGAGATCTTCAAAGATCTGAAACCAAGAACACACATTCTAAAGCATAAAATCTCGGAATACAATTTCCTGCAGAAAGTTTGGCAAATATTTAAAATAAAAAAGAATTAATCGCGGAAGATAAAAAAGTGATGTGTTTTTTCAACTTTTCGACAACAACAAAATAATCCATGGAGGGATCCCGATGATTTTTAAGTACGTTATAAGTCTTGTTCCCTACATTATAGGGAACAAGATTCTGAAGAACTTATCGAAACGTTAAACAATTTTTTCGAACTCGAACCCGATTGGTTTCTCGTTCTAATGATAAAATAAAGGGCTTTTTTTTAGAACACGGGAAAAAATAAACAAATTTAAGAAAAAGCCACTAAAGTAAATATTTACCGAAAGTTGAAATATTCCAGATGGAAGTTTGCAACTCGTGGAACAATAATGGTGCGTTGGGAAAATCTTTGAAGCTGTTTCATCCCGATAATGCAACATCATATGGAAAGATACGATCGGGAAAGTCCCGTTTGCTTTTCCGCCAGGAATGTCTCTAGATGCTACGATTTCCGGTACACCATGTATATGCGTAAGGGGACGCGTCCCATGCGAGACTCACGGTGTGTTTTTCGAGCACACGTTCCAGCGATGGGAAACCTTATATCTCGTACACGCGATACCCGTTGACGGGTGTGTTAAGGTAAATGGAAAAAAGAGTGGCAAGGCGAAAGAGAGTGGAAAGGGATCGGATCGTCCCTCCATGGAAGACGATCGCGATCGCGAGCGCGAGTCTTTTCTGGTGCTCTCCGGTGCTCGACCAGATGCGGGGAATTTACTTTACGAGATCAAAAGCCGGCTTCCGAGTATCGATCGCGCTTCTGTCATTAATTGGTTGCCCGATGTGCTTCGACTTTCTCCTGCAGATTAAGAATGTCGGCTGAATAATTAACGGAACGATCGGTACGGCAAGCAGGTGAAAACAAAATGATCAACGGGCCGCTGCCTCCGGCGAGATCGTGAAATTTTATGCAAATACTTTACTTTTGACCCGGCGAACGGTTCTCGCGTTCGACGACGCTGAATGGGGATGACGCGAAATCTCATTCACTTCACCGTTGCCAGGAAATAACACGGGTTGAAGACGGTTATAAACACACTCTGCGGATTTTATGCATTTATGTCAAAACTGAGTAACCACCATCTAAAATAGCAGAAAGATTAACGTTTACCACATTTCATATATTTTATACTGAAAGTTGGAGAAGCTTATACGTAAGCTTTAAGTCAACCTGAAACAGCAGAAATAAGAAAGAACTCTGTTAAATAGATNAACGTTAAGACATCTCTCCTTTGTTTCGAGATAATTCGATGCTTCGCACGGGTCGCGCGTTTTGCGCATTGTTTATCGGACTTTGAAATTTCCTAACGAAGCCTACGGCGATCGTTAAGACCGCGGATTTTATGCTCTTACAGCAAAAAGCAGTCGAGGATGTCGATATATTATTTCACATCAATTAAAATTACCAAAGAAATCAGGAACTTTACAGTTACTATCTTCTTCTTACAGCTGATGCAGTTCATGTTCATTTCATATCAAGATCCACACTCCTGTGATCATTACTGTTCGTTCGTTCGTCCTTTATGTTTTGAAATCTACTATCATCGATGTTATAAAAGCTTTCAAGAAACGAAGCTCTTCTGATGGTGGGTTAATTACACATCTGTGCATCCATTTTTTTTTAGTTATCCGAAGCATGCAATTCTTTGAAGATTTGTCAAGTTTCTTCGTGCCAAAGAAACTCTCAAGTATAAAATTTTAAATGTTTTCAATTCCAAAATACAATTTCCCACATGAAATTCAAGTGTTGAACATTTAGAAATATTGCTTCTACAATAATATTATTTATCCTTATGTAATCGTTTCGACAAGAAGGATTTATAATTTCGATAAAATTTCCATTGCTCGTGATCATCTGTGAGTTTGTCAAAAAATTCCATTAACAAGTTACTCAAATTTCTTTATATACGATCAATTGCAATTTACTGCATAGAGATCTTCAAAGATCTGAAACCAAGAACACACATTCTAAAGCATAAAATCTCGGAATACAATTTCCTGCAGAAAGTTTGGCAAATATTTAAAATAAAAAAGAATTAATCGCGGAAGATAAAAAAGTGATGTGTTTTTTCAACTTTTCGACAACAACAAAATAATCCATGGAGGGATCCCGATGATTTTTAAGTACGTTATAAGTCTTGTTCCCTACATTATAGGGAACAAGATTCTGAAGAACTTATCGAAACGTTAAACAATTTTTTCGAACTCGAACCCGATTGGTTTCTCGTTCTAATGATAAAATAAAGGGCTTTTTTTTAGAACACGGGAAAAAATAAACAAATTTAAGAAAAAGC